TTCCTTGGAGACTTATACTATCCCTAACCCCCTCCCAATATGAAAGTATATAATGGGCCACTTCTCATGACCCCAGTGCAGCTCTCTCTGCCCACGTGTCTTGTCCCCGTGCCTTAATAAAACCACGTTTTGCACCAAAGACGTCGCAAGAATTCTTTCTTGGCCGTTGGCTTTGAATTCTAACGTCTTTCCTTCATCAGAAACCAGGTAGGCAACTGAGAGTCAAATATATCTGTTAGGTGAGCCCAAGTGGTTAGGGCTGTCAACGAAGTGAAGAAATACGACAATTATGTAGCTATCACTCAAGTCCAAGTGTTCTTCTCCCAAATGATTAGTTGCTTTTGAAGGGACACTTCTAGTTCAGGGGCATGGGAAGTAGCTCCCACCTTCGTGGGAGATGTGTGCTAAGAAAAAAGACTGGGGCGGGGGGTGGGAAGGAAAGAGAGACAAAGAAAAAAGACCTGGGGTTCTATGGCCAAAATTTTAACAGTGACTATCTGAGTGGCATGACTGTAGGTGATTTTTGGTTCCTTCTTTATGATTTCCTAAATTTTCCAAAATGCCTATCATGAACTTGGATTACTTTTCTATTCAGAAAAAAATGTCATTGAAAAAAGACACGAACGAAGCACACGAGAAGGGCAGAATATGTAGCGGTTAGGAATTTGCGTTCTAGAACCAGATAGTCCTAGGTCAGCTCATGATGCACATTTATCTCATATAATCGAAGGTGCTCCTGGGATAAAAATTGCTGCGTCCCCGGTGAAGCGCTAGGCTTTATGGGTGGTGATGGAGGGGCCTCTGCAGTGTGTGGGGCTTCCTGGAGGCAGGGGAGAGCCTGAAGTAATCTCATTCAGTTTTTCAAGTGTCCTTCAAATATACGTTTTTTGTTTTAATGCTTTGTAAAAGATCCCTAACGTCAGCTTCTTTTTTAAAGGGGCTGAGATGTTTTCACCAACCTCTTCCCCTTCAACAATGAGTCGGGTCACATTTCTAGAAAGTCATCCTTCCATCTGGGCCTGTGCTCTGAAGGCAGTGGGTCAGATGTCATCACAGCTCAAGTTCATCCCCCACGTGGGCTTTTTTGCTGGCTAGACCGGACTGACTTGCAGAGGAGGGCTCCACTTTGTCATGGATGTTTTCATTTGCATATGGAAATCTTTTTCTCTTCCTTTCTAAGGGCAATTTTATGTTAATCCCAGTGAATGGAATGGGTGTGCAGACAACCGGAAGGAAGTGGGTGTGTCCTGGGCTGCAGGACAGCTGAGGTGTTTAAATGCTTCTGTTAGAAAGAGGTGGGAACACTTGGTCTGGTATTGCTGTCACCTGAGACAGGTAGAACAAGGCAGGGTGGGTCCAAGGTGGAGAGGGCAAGCTTCTGGAGTGAAGTACTACCAAAGGGGGCCCCTTTCCACATCAACTCAAACCAAAAGACGATGATTACGTATCAACTGGTCCCTCCTGCATTTGTAGGGTAAATTGTTAAATCATCATTCAAGAAAGCATATTCCAGCTGCTGGAATTCCTTGGAGCATGGAATTCTCAAGACAGGAAGTAGCTTGACCAAAAATCAGAGCCTGAGATTTGGAACATCTTCCACTGTGACTGTTGATTGATTTGGGACTCTCCTTTCATTAGGAAGTTATATTCATCTGGGCTTTTATTGTATCTTGCTCTAGAAATCTGCCCTGGAAGGTAGCTATTGACCCTGGTCTCCTGCCCTGTCATTTTCTCTCCAAGTTTTGGCTTTGAAAATCCTATCTACTTATCGATCTACCTTTATTTATTTTTGATGGTACTTTTAAAAAATAACTCAGGCCCCTCTTTAAAAGAAATCAAATAGTACAAAGGTTATTAAGTGTTATTAAGTCCGTCTTCTTTAGGTGCCTTCTGCACTCCCCAGTGTGGAAATTGTTTATACCACAGATCCTGGGCAGGCTGTCCAAACTTACCCATCACATTTGGTGATGATCTTTCAGTCATTTTACGTGAATATGTAACAACCAAATAGAAACAATTTTATTTATGTTTTTGAACAGGTGAGAAATGTTCCTTTAGATCATAGGAGACCATAGGAGATAGAATTGTATGACTTCGGCACTGCCTCCAACAAGCTCCACTCTGTCTGGGGAGAACTGATAAGGCATGAAAGTTAAATAATGCCAAGGTGAGAATGTGGCTGGGTCCTGGGCGGTTGGTCACCAAACTAAGCCTAAGGCGTTATCGTGTTTGTGCTGTAAGCACCACGGGTGACGAAATACCACTCTGTAGTCTCTGGAAGGCCAGAGAAATTTAGCGAAAGGCAAGAGCAGCATCCTCAGTCTTAGCAAGAAGCAGCACAGCAAACAGACCCTGTCGTTGACCGGTCTTGAGTTTTGGTCTCTGTTCTGTTCTGCCAGATGGATGATCTTGGGCAAACTCCTTCAACCTTCCGAACCTCAGTTTCCTCATCTGAGGAAGATGGGACCACTGGTAGTGCCCACCTCGGAGAGCACGTAGAAGGGTCAAATTACATTTCGTGTAGAAGGTGGATTGATAGATGGCAACTGTCATTAAAATTAAATAATATAAAAAGGAAATGTGGTTGGCTGCCAGGTGAGTTTCTGGTCCTACAATGGAGCGATCAATAGGTCACATAACAGCAAAGTTTTAATAATGATTTTGCCTTTGTTTGTTTAGTTGCTTTCATCTGACCACGTATCATGTTACTGAGCGCCTTCTCTATGCCAGATGCCATGGCAGTGTAGTAGGGACACTGTCCCCTGCCGTGATAATCTCATGGGTCCTAGAGGGCCACCAAAGAACCCAGAGGCAATGACACTGCAGAGTGACACATCTTACGATGATGATCATCACAGGGTGCTTTAGAATTGTCTTTGGGGTGGTAGTCATGGAAGGCTTCCCAGTAGAGGTGATGTCTAAGCTGAGACCTGAAGAACGAGGAGTTTGCATGAGAAACAACAAGACCGAACATTTTTGAGTATGCTTCTGTCTACCAGGTGCCGTGCTGTGTTTCACGTGTGTTTTCCCATCTAGAACTCACAACAAAATGATGAGGTAGGTACTGTCCTGCCCACTTTACAGATGAGAAAACTGAGGCTCATAGATGTGAAGTTAACTTGCCAAAGAAAATGTAGCTAGTAAGTAGAGAAGCTGAGATTGAGACACAGCCCATGTTCGAGTCCATCAGTACCATGTGTCATGCGCGGCCAGCCTACATTATGCTTACAAAGTGAGGGCAACTCAGGTTAGCAGGAAAGGCATTATCCTCAGCCAAGCCATATATAGGAGGCCAGAGGAATAAATGGTTTTCTGATATGTGGGAAATAGGAGGGGAGGAGAAGGATGTGATTCCAGTCGTTTTCGAGAATGATGCGTCCAGATATGAGGGCCAGGTGGGGAGAGACTGGGGGGCAGAAGGCTCAGAAAAGAGAGTGCAACAGCCATCCGGTATGAATGGATGGAGACCGCACTCACGCGTCCTCCCACTGCAAAGGGGAGGGAGCCACATGGCCTTCCACTCTGTGAGTATGAACTCCCCAGGTACCACTGGACAGATGTCAGGGTGCACTGGGCTTACATAGAAGCCTAGAAGATGAAGAGGGCTGGTTAAGAGGAAGTAAGCAAAGGGTTGGGAGGATCAAGCAAACGCACTCAGTGTTTGAATCCAGCAAATACTCTCCATTTCTGTCATCCAACTGGAGAGTCCACGTTGTGGTTCCAGTCATGAGTTGAGCAAGGGATACCGATGAGTCTGGGAATTGATTGCCCATGTATCACCTTTTGCAGTGATCCGTGGATTCCAAAATGAGCAAGAGTCATTTGGACCCATCAGTTTCTGAGGCAGAAACTTCCCCTAAGAATGATAGGTGGGCATCATTGAGGAGTTCTTGAGCGCTGTTCTCGTAATGGCAGCTGACTTTTATTTAGAACGTTTGTTTCTTGCCAGACACCAAGTAAAAGCTTTATAGTTAGTCCTCATAACAACCTTTTTTTAGGTAAAAACCCTGGAGGTAGAGATAGAATGAGTGTCTGGGATTCATGATCTCAGCGACCACCCTGGACCAGAGACCTCTGCCCCGGGCTGCTGATAGAACTGGCCCATGTTTCTATATGAAGGGCTGTTTTCCAGAAAAGCCTTTTGAATGCTTTGGGCTTGACAGTTAAAATTCTGGCATTTGTTTACCTCACAGTCACTTCTCGAATGACAATTAGGTACTATGCACTGTGCTAAGTTTTGTGGACACAGCTGTGAGCAAACAGACAGACTGCCCCGTCGGAGGTAAATGTGTGTGTGCAGAGGACAAAAATACTATGAAGGAAATGAATGGTGGGCGGGATGGAACATCAGGGAGACGGTGCTGCGGTAGGTCAGGGGAGGCCTGTCTGATGAAGTGGCATTTAAGACGGGACCTGAAAGTGAACCAGGATAAGAGCAAGCAAGAAGTCCCCATAACGAGAGAGCGCTGGGTGTGTCTGAGGAGCTGAAGGGAGGCCAGTGCGAGCAGAGCAGAGGACTGTGGGAGATGCCCGGCCGGACTGGGCAGGCCCCGGGCTGGTGCTGTAGTTGGGATGGCCTGAGCATGGTCACCTCTAGCACGGACAGGTGCAAAAGTCCCTGAGCGGAAGCCGCCGCAACCCCCTCACCAACAGGCAGGTGTGCTTTGTAACAAGAGCAGGACAGATGAGGTCCCCGGGAGCTGTAAAACATTACTGACTCGACTTGACTGGAGGGTTCTAAACCTTCTCAGTTGACAGAGCCCTGCGTGCCTCGGTGGCTTTTTCTCACGGCCCCCTGCGGCGGAAAGAGATACCTGATGGTTTCATTTAAGTAGTTGGGTCCAGACAGCTTCATAAGTCTTTATGTTCTAACAACTTTTTCTTTTTTTTTGAAGATTTTATTTATTTATTTGACAGAGAGAGGCACAGCGAGAGAGGGAACACAAGCAGGGGGGGTGGGAGAGGGAGAAGCAGGATTCCTGCTGAGCAGGGAGCCCGATGAGGGGCTCGAGCCCAGGACCCTGGGATCACGACCTGAGCTGAAGGCGGATGCTTAACGACGGAGCCACCGGCGCCACCTTCTAACAACTTTTTAGTAGTCATTTGAAAAAAGTGATAACACAGAAGTGGAAAGAAGAAAATGATTATTTCTTTTGCTTCTCAAGTCACCCGATTACTAATGGGCTGTGTGGGGGATCAGATTGGACGTTTCCTGTTCCACACCGATTTCCTCACGCTGCTGTATAGTGACTGCTGGAAACACAGCTTAGCAGAGATAGGCCATCACTGAAAGGAATGTGGCAAGGAGTGTCTAACATTGACACTCGGAACAGCCCTGAGTCGGTGCAGTGTTCAACAGATGTTGAGTATCCTGCGTTTCCTTTGGGGAATTTCAAATATCTCACAGCACTTCTGTGAATTTACATGGAACACTGGGGGTGATTTGGTGGACAGTGTGGGGACCACAGAACTAGACATATTGGTTTCTGATTATAGAACCGAGATCATCCTTTGCTGCTAAGTCCAAAGCCATCTCTGAGTACATAGTAACATTTTATGTGAGGATTCCAGGAAACAACGTTGCCACTCTTTCTGAAAACTCTATCCTATCTGCCCTTAAATCCATAGGGATGCCTCAGAGTGCTAACCCAGTCTGACTACTTTGGATAGAGGAGAGAGGAGGAAAAGCGGGAGGAATGCATCCAGATCTTCAGCAATAGCATGAAAGCATGCACTGTTGAATAAAGAGGAAGTGAGCATGCAATATGCAATAGTGATTTGGAGCCCTTGATGAAGAAATGAAGGCTAGATTCTGAAGGGTTGGTTGTTGTCAGAACCTGCAGTTAAGCTGGCTAAGCCTTGTGGTATTGCCCTTTGTAATCAGGAACATCCTTTCAGAAGGCAATTGTAGAACACGGGGAGAAGAAATTTAACACCCGCTCTACCAGCATATTTCTTTGGTTGCTCTCATCTATTTCTTTAGCTGGATGCCAATCTTGGTGAGTGAGAGAAAGTGTGATGATTAGTGAGTGAGCAAATGAGCAGACCTGTCTTAGGAATGCTCCAGAACCTTGCTGCAATATAAATATCATGCTATCTCAAAGAATAATAGTCGGTAGAACCAGTTGACTTTAAGGCAGTTTAACTTTCTCTTTCTGCATGACATCATGTATGTAAATTTTCCAGGTTGGTTGAGACACCGATGAAACCAGTTCCTGTGGCAACTGGAGATATCCTTACATCATCCTTGTGATGGCTGGACCCAGGAAATCAGCAGGGGAACCCACAGTACCACACAGAGGTAGGATGTGTCTCACCGGTAACCCTTTAGGCATGAGAATGAAGAAGAGTTCTTCGGTTGGCTTTAGGCTATCTCATTCTACCTGGCAGTTGACCAGAGAGACACTTCCTTGGGGGAAATCCTAGCCTTGGAAATGTCTCACTCGTATCGTCCCGTTGAATGGTCCGAGTCCTCTCTGCATGGTGTAGCCATTGGACTTTCCTTCTGGGTTGGCTGACTTTGGTCATGGCATGCCACAGGGAGAGTGGGTCCAGTGGTTAATTTATGCAGAAAAAGCATGACTTCCTTGGAGGCTGGGGTGGGAAACAGTGATATATCCTTTTAAGCTTGGATGACCTGACCTGGAGCCGCCTTTTCTCTCTCTGTATTTCATTTAAAGTAAACTCATGCTACCTTCTGAGGTGGAGTATAAGGCATAGTTAAATGTAATGGTATCCACGAGCCCAGATGTTTAAACAGAGATTTATTGTTTATACGGCACTGGGAAAGGTACTCAATTTTTCTGTGCTATACCTTCCTCATGTTAAAATGTAGGTGCCCTTTTCTAGTACTTACCACAAAGGTAAAGTAGGTTGTGAAGATTGAAGTAGGTACTGCATAGAGAGGATTTATGTTTTTGGAGTAGAACCTGGCTTATCAGACACTTGGTACCTGTTATTTTTATTATTTGAAGACTGCTATCCTCCAAGGCTAGAGACATAGATTATGAGGTTCTTTGATGCCTCATTCTCTTCTAAGTCTTTGAGTCTTTAGAATGAAATCGGACACAGAATTGGTGTTGTTGATTAACAAATTATAAAAATATTCCCCTGCGGATGCTCAGGCACTGCTGAAAGCTACAAGAACTCTCAGGGCCCATGGTCATAAAACTAATGCAACAAAATGGTCCTTAATTACAGTTTCAGAGGCTCCTATCTCATTTTCTTCTATATCCACTTAAAATTATTGTATTTGAATGGAATATATCTATTCAGACTCTCTCATTGTTCTATTGGAAATTTTTAGTGCTAAGGCTTGAAGTCAAGGCCCCTTATTCCACTAAACTTGCAGGATGACAAAACCTGGGGCTTTTAGGAGCCAGGTAGGAAAAGTAAACAGGTGAAGGGTGCCCCACGTGTGATTCTGGATGGCATTGGAGATATCAAAATACTAGGGTGCTCACGCCTCATCTAAATGCATTCAAATTCAATTTTTAAATATTAAGACCCTTTTTTTTAGAGCAGTTAAGGTTCCCAGCAAAATTGAGGGGAAGGTACAGAGAATTCCCATATGTCTTCTGCCCCACCCCCCACATACACAGCCTCCCCATTATCACAAGAGTGGTATATTGGTTACAATGGATGAACCTACACTGACATGTCATTATCACCCAAAGTCCATAGTTTGCATTATGGTTCACTCTGGTGTTGTATATTCTGTGGGTTTGGACAAATGTATGATGACATATATCCACCATTATGATATCATATAGACTATTTTCCCTGTCTTAAAAATCCTCTGTGTCCGCCTTCTCATCCCTCTTCTCTCCAGTTCCTGGCAACCTCTGATCTTTTTATTGTCTTCATAATTTTGCCTTGTCCAGCATGTCATAGAGTTGAAATCATACAGTATGTAGTCTTTTCAGATTGACTTCTTTCACTTAGTAATATGCATTTAAATTTCATTCATGTCTTTTCATGACTTAATACTCATTTCTTTTCAGTGCTGAATCATATTCCATTGTTTAGATGTCCTGCAGTTTATTTATTCATTCACCTATTGTAAGACATCTTTGTCGCTTCCAAGTTTTGGCACTTATCAAGAAAGCTTCTATAAACATCCATGTGCAGGTTTTTGTGGGCACATAGTTTTCACCTCCTTTGGGTAAATACCAATGAGTGTGATTGCTGGATTGTATGGTCAAAGTATGTGCAGTCTTGTAAAAAACCGTCAAGCTGGCTTCCAAAGTGGCTACACCTCCAATTCAGTTTTAAAAAACAATATTGTAATCACTACAACAAACATGTCTGTGGGTTGAATTTGTCCTGACTGATTGCAACTTTGGAAAGGGTGCATAAAACTTGCCACGGTATAATAAAGCTCAGAATTCTGCACTAAGAATCATAGTGAATATGACTTCTCTTGATATCTCGTGAAAAATGGGATGAATGAACGATTATCTCCTCTTCAAAGTGCTCAGGACAAAAGTGCCTTCAGTGTAGTGCAGGCACCAAACACATCCAGAAAGACAGAGATCCCCTCCCAGGAAGCACTGAAACAAGTGCATTCATTCATTCATTCATTCATCCATCCGTGACACTTTTATTGAATGCGCAGTGTATCGTTTGGTTGAGAGGGGACCTCTTTTCCTAAGGAGTTTACAGTTTAGCAGGGGAGATAAACCAAGTGCTCAGCTGGCTCTTAAATAGGACAGGATGAGAGAAACACTCCGAGACTGCAGAAAGGGCGAAGGGAATGTAAGGGACATAGAGAGCATGCCCATTGGGGAGGGTGAAGGCAGATGACATGAAGCAGGGGACTGTCACGGTAGATTGGAAGGAGGGGGCTACATAAGGAGAACGGGAGGGGTGGGGGAAATGAGGTAAGAATATGCAGGGGCCCAGTGTCCAAGAGATGCCAAATAGTTCTCCTTCCTTGAGTTTAGTGTCCACTGAAGAAAAAATGGACAAGGAAGCTGGAAAGATGACAGCAGACAGGCACACAAACAATTAACAATGTTTGAGCCCTATGAGCAAAGCCCAGTTAAGATCAGAGAGAAGGAAAATTCTTGCTCTTCACTGAATGTGGGCTCTTTCCCCCAAACTCTCTACGCTTTGGTTTCTTCTTCTGTAAAATGAGGATAATACTAACACATTAGTATTTACTTCTTGTAAAGTTCTTACAAGAAATACTACTACTTACTGAGCAAAAACCATGGGTCAGGTTCTATGCCACATGCTTTATATGCATTCACTGATTTTATCCTTAAAACCACCTTATGAAGAAGGTACTTTATAATCCCCATTGATGTCTGGGGAAAATGAAGCACAGAGAGAAAAAGTAACTCAATGTATGTCATAGAGCTAGAGAATGGCAGGGCAGGGATCATGAGATCCTATGTAATGTATGATTTGGTTGAGATCATGCATGTGAGCTCTTGGTGCCTGCCCATAGCAGTCACTCAGCACATGCTAGCTATCGTTGTTAATTCTATTAGCATTGTTATTTGACTGGAGGAATCACCTTAGGTTTCATGGAGGGGGTGATATTTGCAATCAGCCTTGAGAAGCACATTCGAGACCATGGGCAAGCTGGAGCTGCACAGCTTTGCCACGGAGAGTAGGGAGGAGCCCCTGCGCTTGAACGCAAGACTCCAAGGGAAGGAGGAGAGAAGGGTACAGCTGACGAGGCAATAAAATGGCCTGGCTGTCCAGCGGTAGACAGTGTGTCAGCATTCGAGGTTTTAAATATAGGAAGTGAAGAGATCAGAGCTTTGCTTAACTTTCTGTTTAGCAAGCTAAACTGTCTGTTCTTGAGGCCGTGCTGTCCTCCAGGGCAGCTCTTCAACTGTGAGTCCTGGCTGGGAAGTGCCCACCTCTGGTGGTGATGCCCCGGGACCAGAAGAGGAAACAACGATGATAGGAATCTCCATTCAGAAGTCCAGCTTTCACTTTAGACTCGTCCCTCGATGGGGACAGGCCGTCTTTGGGTGCTCGTGTGTGAGGGGGGAAAGAGAAACTCAAGAGCAGAAGTGCCCCTGCAAGTCATGTGGCTTTCTGCACCATCTCTCCCATTTCTCCCTCCCCTGGTGACACTTCCTTTTAAGATCCAAAAACACAAAAGCTGACTTAAACCATCTCCAGGGCCAAACATTCCCGGGTGAAAATGAGGGGCTGCTCGAGAGGAAATGAAAGGAGACAGAGATATGATTGCCTTAAGAATTTTCTGCTGTGATCCACTGGACAGATTCATGTTGAAATAGAAAGATAGGTCCGAAAGCATGATGCAAACGCAGGTGTTTGGAGTCCCTGCCAGAGACACACAGAGGGGAGGAATTCTCCAGAATCATGTTGGTGTGGAGTCTTTGGCCGGGAAGCAGCCTGTTGAAGTGGAAATGGCACAGAAATAGAAACCAGACCACCTGGGATCTTCTGGTCCAGTGTTTTCCAAAGGGCAATGTCCTTCGAGGTGATTTTAGACTGCAAAGGAACAACTTATTAAACAGTCACAAACTGGGACGCCTGGGTGGCTCAGTCGGTTAAGCATCTGCCTTTAGCTCAGAACATGATCCCGGGGTCCTGGGTTCGAGTTCCGAGTCTCTGTCTGCCTGCCATTCCCCCTGCTTGTGCTCTCTCTCTCTCTCTCTCTCTCTGACAAATAAATAAATAAATAAAATCTTAAAAAAAAAAAAAACAGTTACAAATCCCAGATGAGAACTTTACCCCATTTCAAAGTTGTTTTTCAGTTCCTTGGATGCCATCAGGGAGGAAGAGTCAGTTTGGAGCTAGGGTGTCTGGAAGACCTCTCCATCACTTGTGGATCTCTTCTGAACAGGGTACAGGCCTCAGGGACAGAGGCGGTAACAGGCAATACCACTATTCAGAGGGTCTCAGCCTTGGTTCACACTCTTGTTTCCTCAGGAGAACTTTAGAAAATTACTTAGATCTGGGCTCTTCTGTCCCCTGAAGAGTTCTAGTTCAATAGATCTGGGGGAAGGCCTGGGCATTGGGACTTTTAAAAGCTCTCCAGGCAGCAGTTTCTAATTAAAGTCATTTTATATTGTATTTATGAATCTAGTCATGGCAAGTTATACTGCTTTTCTACTTAGGTAATGAAGTAAAATTTCCTTTCAATACCAATTGACTTATGCAAAAATGGTAAGTGCCTGTTAAGAAAAAAAAAAACAAAAATGGAATCCTACAGGTGGTATTTAGCTGTGGCAAAGACAAAATATGTATTTAGTGAACTTGGCAAAACTCTCTCTTGGATCTTTTCTAAGCTCTACAATTTCTGACCTCCTG